TGCCTTAGGACCTAACATGACAATGTCCCTTTTATTTTGCAATATATGGTTTTGTCACAAGTGTGTCAGGGTAAGTCACTGCAAACTAGTCTAAGATTTGCATGATTTATTAATTTTGTTTAACAAACAGAATATTTAAATCATACTTTGTAGTTGTAGCCACAGCCTAGAGAAATGTCTTCCTGAGAGACTTGTTACAGAATCACTATGCTATCTTGCACAATAATCTTCTTTCACAGTGGTGTTATCGGGGGAGGAGGGGAGGTGTTATATTTCCCTGTTCTGAAATGAGACTGAGAGCAACCAAAGGTAACTTTCATAATTCTAAGCAATAGGAGTACGGTATGCAAACTAGCTTACTTATTTCCTTTATAGTTTCTATTATTTAACCTATATTATCCTCTGCGTAGCTAATGTAGGGAATAAAATATAATATACTAGAAATTATCCCATCATAAGACGGGATCTTCAGGTCTCTCCTCCATGTCGGTCTTTTCTCCCGAGTGTCTTTCTCTTTCTCTCCTCCTCCTACTGCCTCCCCCTCTCTCTCTCAGCTCTCCTCTGCCTTCTGCTTATATCTCCGTCTCTCTCTTTCTCTTCTCCCCCTCCTGCCTCTCACTCTCTCTCCGCTCTCCTTTGTCTGTCAGGGATGCACGCTTGTCCAGGCCCTGCCCCCCTGGCTGTGTACGTCACCGCCCCATCCCCCTTCACCTCCCACCGTGGCGCTCGGCTGACTTCTGTGCCGCTCAGCCAGGCTTTTACAGGGGAGCAAGCAGAGCAAGCGGCCTTTTGGGCTCCCCCGTGGTGGCCCGGCTGGGCGGCGCAGAAGTCAGCCGAGCACCAAGATGGGAGGCGAAGAACATGACTCAGGCAACAGCGCTGCCCAGAGGGAACAGCCAGCATTTCGGGCAACAGTGCGGCAAAGGGGAATGTGAAGGGGGGCGAGGCGGTGACATGCACAGCCAGGCCCTGGCTCCTGGCCTTGTATGTCACCGCCCTGCCCCTTTCCCCTCCCTCATGGCACTCGGCTGACTTCTGCGCTGCTCAGCTGGGCCGCTGTGGGGGAGCAAGCAGTGCAAGTGGACATTTGGGCCCCGTGCTGCCTATTCAGCACAGGGGTACTGCATGGGGACCGCAGCATCCAAACGGCCGCTTGCGCTGCTTGCTCCCCTGCGGCGGCCCGGCTGGGCGGGCTGACTTCTGCGCTGCTCAGCTGGGCCGCTGTGGGGGAGCAAGCAGTGCAAGTGGACATTTGGGCCCCGTGCTGCCTATTCAGCACAGGGGTACTGCATGGGGACCGCAGCATCCAAACGGCCGCTTGCGCTGCTTGCTCCCCTGCGGCGGCCCGGCTGGGCGGGGCAGAAGTCAGTCGAGCGCCAAGGTGGGAGGCGAAGAACATGACTCAGGCAACAGCGCCGCCCAGAGGAAACAGGGGAACTGCGGAGCCCAAATGGCCGTTTGGGCTCCGGACTCCCTATACTGCCTGGGGAGCGCAGAGCCCAA